TCGGTGAACTCACCGTGGAGGATGTGCAGCTGTCAGCCGTGGTGGACATCGCAGGGAGGAAATGGAAGGCCACGGTCGACACAGGGGCCACTAGCAGCTTTGTCAGCTGTGAGCTGGCGGAACAGCTGCGAGGGGAGGGGCGCGAGGAGAAAACCGACAAGCAGGTGCGGTTGGCCGATGGACGCCGTCGCACCATCGAGACAAAAATCGAAGTGGAACTGGCGTTCGGAGACAAAGTGGTCTCAATGGCGCTTCTGGTGCTGCCAGGAGTCATCGATGCGCTGGTACTAGGCTGGGACTTCATTGCCGCAGTCGGAGCAGAGGTGACCTGTGCGGGGCACAGGGTCGTGATCCCTGCGAGAGGCCGACGGAAAGGGCGGGTGGAAGAAAGGCTGTCGGTGGCAGTAGTGGAGGCCAATGAGGAGTCCCCAGAAGGAATGGCGGATGAGGAGTCCGAAGCCGAGTATCCCACGGGAAGCGGGCGCCGCGACAGTGCAGAGGAAGGCCCATTCGAAGAATTTCTGGCCAAGGAATTGGAGGAATTCAAGAGGATGAAAGGGGTATCGAACGTGGCGGTGCATACGATCACAATGAGCGATGCGATACCGGTTAAGCAGCGATACTACCCTAAGAACCCAAAGATGCAGGCGGAGATCAACCAAAAGGTAGACAAGCTGCTGGAAATGGGGTGTATCGAGCCATCAACGAGCCCTTATAGTTCCCCCATCGTAATGGTTAAAAAGAAAACTGGTCAGTGGAGGTTGTGCGTGGACTTCCGACAAATCAATGCAAAGTCTATCAAGGACGCATACCCAATGCCGCGGATTGACTACATCTTAGATCAGCTGAGGGAAGCACGGTTCATCAGTAGCTTGGATTTGAAGGACGGGTATTGGCAAATACCACTGGAAAAGGATAGCCGGAAGTTCACAGCCTTCACGGTGCCAGGCAAGGGATTGTTCCAATGGAAAGTGATGCCGTTCGGGCTACATTCGGCCTCGGCCACGTTTCAGAGGGCGTTGGACCAGGTTATTGGTCCGGAAATGATGCCGCATGCTTTCGCATACCAAGACGATATCATCGTTATAGGCCGAACGAAAGAGGAGCACCAACGTAATCTGGAGGAGGTGTTCCGACGCTTAAAAAGGGCCAACTTAAGGTTGAATGTGGAAAAATGCCAGTTCGGCCGAAGGGAGCTGCGGTACCTGGGGCATTTGGTGACAGGGGAAGGCATCTGCACTGATCCGGAAAAGGTGGCCGCCATCGCAGAGCTGAAGCCACCGGCGAACGTGAAAGAGCTTCGCCAGTACCTGGGCGTCGCCTCATGGTACCGACGATTCGTGCCAGGATTCGCCACCATGGTACAGCCGCTTAGCACATTGCTGAAGAAAAAGGTGAAGTGGGAATGGGCATCAGAGCAACAACAGGCATTTGAGTCCGTGAAGGGTCGGCTGGTAGCCGATCCGGTGCTAACTTGCCCGGATTTCTCGAAGAAGTTTGTGCTACAGACGGACGCCAGCGACTATGGATTGGGAGCGATTCTCACCCAAGAAACGGAGAAGGGCGAAAGGGTGATCTCATACGCCAGCCGAACGCTGAACAGTGCGGAGAAGACTTACTCGGCTACAGAGAAGGAATGCCTGGCAATTGTGTGGGCCATCAGGAAGCTCAAACCCTATTTGGAAGGGTATCACTTCAAGGTGGTCACCGACCACATGGCATTGAAGTGGCTCAACAGCATAGAGAGCCCGACGGGGAGAATCGCAAGATGGGCGCTAGAGTTACAGCAATATGACTTCGAAATAGCGTATAGGAAGGGGAAGCAGAACGTGGTGGCTGACGCGCTATCCCGACAGCCCATGGAAGAGCGATGTATGCGAGCGGAGGACGTTGGACAGGAGCCCGAAGAGCAATGCTCATGGATAAAGAAGGTCAAGGAGAAGATGAGAAGGGAGCCGGCCAAGTTCCCAGATTATGTGGAGGAGGCAGGCGGGGTGTACCGGCATATCCCTCACCGGGCCGGCGACGAAGAAGTAGTAGCTTGGAAGCTTTGCGTGCCGAAGGATCGGCGGGAGCGGGTCATGAGGGAGAACCACGATATCCCAGAGGCGGGTCACGCCGGCGGCAGGAAAATGATGGCAAGGATAGCTGCCAGGTACTACTGGCCGGGGATGCACCGAGACGTGAGGACGTATGTCAGGAAATGTGACACCTGCATGCGTTTCAAACCAAGTCAGGCACAGGCGGCCGGGAAGATGCTGACACAAGTACCAGAGGAACCATGGGCGACGGTGTGCGCGGATTTTGTGGGACCATTGCCCAGATCAAAACACGGCAACGCCATGCTGTTGGTGCTGGTGGACCGGTTTTCAAAATGGACCGAGCTGGTGCCAATGAGAAAGGCCACGGCAGAAGCCCTGATAAAGGCTTTCAGAGAAAGAATATTGGCCCGGTTCGGCGTACCCAAGGTGATGATCACCGACAATGGGGTACAATTCACCAGTCGGGCGTTTAAAAAGTTTCTGGATCAAATGGGAGTTCGACACCAGTTTACGGCACCGTACACGCCGCAAGAAAACCCGACGGAACGCACCAACAGAACGGTGAAAACCATGATCGCGCAGTTCACCGAAGGGGACCAGAGATGCTGGGACGAGAAGTGGCCCGAGTTAATGCTGGCCGTGAACTCTGGGGTCACTGAGTCCACTGGATTCGCACCAGCATTCATAGTGCAAGGGAGAGAGCCCAGGCTGCCGAAGGCGTTGTACGATGAGGAAACACTCGGCACGGGTCAGGAGACGAACACTCCGGATGAACATGCGGTAAAGCTGAAAGAACTTTTTCAGCTGGTGAGGCGGAATTTGGAAAGAGCAGCCCAGGATCAGGCAAGATATTACAACTTGCGAAAGAGAGCTTGGAAGCCCAAGGTCGGTGAAAAGGTGTGGGTTAAACAGCACCACCTGTCTAACGCAGCCGAGGGGTTTCGCAGCAAAATTGGCCCCAAAGTATGCCGGTCCCTACCAGATCACTGATTTCGTATCACCGGTGATATGCAAGCTGCGTAAAGACGGCGATAGGCATACGCGGACGGCACATATTGGGGATCTGAAGCCACAGGCAAACGACGAAGGAAAATAAGGAGTCAGAAACGGGTGGAGCGATCCAGAAGCCAAAGGCGTTCGGCTGACCGAGACCCGGGCGGAGAGATACCCTCGGGGGTCCAGTGAAGTGGGAGTGATACTCCGGGTCCTGGGGTCCAGTGTGCCTGGGTCATCTACAGCCGTCGGGCTTGGCTGGGCAGAAGACACTACCCATGCGTTGCTGACGGGCGAGGAGTCGGATGATCCTCGGGTCCGAAGCAGCTGCGTGGGGCAGAGGTCACGCCAAAGGTCAAGCCGGAGGCGGCAATGAGGTGACGAGCCAGGGCCGATCGTCATATTGCAGCCAGGCGAAAGGTCGGAGGACCTGTTAGTCAGGGGCAGGTGTGACGATTGGCATCACGGATCAAGGATGCAAGATGGGCTGGAGAAGAAGCCAGAGTCATTAAAGGATAGCGCACAGATACTCACATGGGCCGAAGGGGGTGTCGATCAGTCGGGGGAGAGGGAAGCCGGGCGGCAAGGCCTAAAAAAAAAAAAGGAAAAAAAAAAAGGAAGAATATAATAAATGTAAAAAGGAAAATATATATATTTAAAGCTCTTCAAACAAAAGGGGGTGGGATCAGGTATGATCGGGTGCGAGCAGACCCCCACCGGCCGCGGAAGGGTTAACGCGGCGAAGAGCCCAATGTGAGAGGCAGGAACCGTCGAGAGAGCGGGAGAAGGAATGCCCAACTACCGTACGACGGAACGACGGGAAAACAGCAAGGGCTCGACGGCGGCAGAGGCTGGAGCTGTCGATCAGTCACGAGCCAGAGGTAGACGGAAACGCAAGCGCGGACTTTAAAAGAAAAAAAAAAGGGAAGAAAATCGCCATGTTGGAATTTTACTTGGAGGAACAAGCCAGAAGTGTGGGGAGCCGCAATCCCGAGATCCAGCGCCAGCGACGGGCGGAGCCCTCGCGAGGTGAGCGATGCGATCGGCGGAGCGAGACTCCAGAGTTGGAGATCATGGCGTCCCCATTCAGAAGCCCCATGGCATCCCCAAGGGAGCGAGTGGTCCTCGTGGGCGTCTCCTCGAAGCAGACGGGAGCCGGAAGTGTCGCCAGGAGCAACGGAGGAGGAGGACAGCGACGGCAGCGACGTGGTGGTGGTCTCCGTCGAGCCGGCTCCGAGGAGAGCCGAGCTCCGGAGATGGCAGCTCAACGACGAGGAGGAGCGGGCACGGGAGCAGGAGCTGCGACGCGACGCAGCGTTCCTCGGCATCGCCATCCGATCGGCGGAGCGCTATTTGCGTGAGCGGAAGTGCGAAACTGCAGGGCAACGGGAGCCGAAGCAGCCGTTGAAAACCAGGCCGCCAGCGACGCCATCGCAGCCGACGTCAAGGCCAGCAGCAGCGCAGCAGGGACGGACGGCAGAGGTACCGTTGCAACGGAGAGCGCAGGCCTCAGCACACCCGACAGCACACCCGACAGCGCAGCCGCCAGCGACGCCAGCGGCGCAGCCACCAGCGACGTCAGCAGCGCAGCCGCCAGCGACGACAGCGGCGCAGCCACCAGCGACGCCAGCAGCGCAGCCGCCAGCGACGCCAGCAGCACAGCCGGCAGCGACCCCAGCAGCGCGGCCAACAGCCGAGCCCGTGCGGAGGAGCCAGATGGAGCAGCAGCGCAATCGGCGAGCAGCAGCAGAGGCGCGACGCGAGGAGGAGCGGCGACGCGAGGAGGGACGGCGACGCGAGGAGGAGCGGCGACGCGAAGAGGGGCGACGACGCGAGGACGAGCGGCGACGCGAGGAGGAGCGACGACGCGAAGAGGAGCGTCGACATGAGAGGAGGCCCGAAGCAAGGCAGCGGAGAAGGCGCAAAGGGAGGCGGCGCTGAACAAGGCCATGATGCGGGAAGCATATGCCGCCCTGCAACGGCAGATGGAGGCCGCGCGGCGGGAAGCCGAAGCTCACGAGAGGGGATCGAGGAGGAGGCTCCGAGTCCTGCCACAAGGTGAGGACAGGTCTGTTTAGCGGACCGACAGGGCACAGCAACCCAAACAGGGTGAGGAGAGCACCCTTATGGGAACGCCAGCACCCCGAGCCACCGCCGCAGCCACCGAGCACACAACAACCGACGCCCCCGCAGTCACCGCCACCAAAATCGCCACCGCCGAACGCACCGACACAACAGTCGTCGTCACGACAGGAGGAGGCACCGAAGGAGCCGCCACAGGAAGAGGCCCAGCGGCCCCGATGGGGTGGTCCGGAGACCGCGGTGTGCGGGCCATTTGTGTCACAAAACGTGCACACGGCGGTAAGGAATGGCATGATATGGCACCACCAAGTTATCTCGTGAGCTTCGGCTTCCCGCCGCGCGGCCTCCATCTGCCGTTGCAGGGCGGCATATGCTTCCCGCATCATGGCCTTGTTCAGCGCCGCCTCCCTTTGCGCCTTCTCCGCTGCCTTGCTTCGGGCCTCCTCTCATGTCGACGCTCCTCTTCGCGTCGTCGCTCCTCCTCGCGTCGCCGCTCGTCCTCGCGTCGTCGCCCTCTTCTTCGCGTCGCCTCTCCTCCTCGCGTCGCCGTCCCTCCTCGCGTCGCCGCTCCTCCTCGCGTCGCGCCTCTGCTGCTGCTCGCCGATTGCGCTGCTGCTTCCGTACACACTTCCAGCGCTGGATAAAGGAACGTACATGCGCCGTACTTTACTCACTGATTTGCAAATCAACTAAACCATCTGCTGCTAACAACACTTCTCCAGCAGACAGGACAACATAGTATAGTAAGGGTGACAAAATGTCACTCCCCACAATATAGATCCAACATACATAGCTGATATATTTCCCGAGTAAAAACTCATAATGACAATTTTCTTTATTTTTTCTAATCCGCGCTTGCTCCATCTCCTCTGATAATAATTCACTCGGCCTGTACACATAGACCCTTACATGTTTCATCATAGCATAACATTTACTCTGGTCAGACTTTTCCTCTCAATAGCACTGACCCTCCCACCCACACAGCCTTGAACCATTTTGAAAAACTTAAATGTATATATTTTCCTTTTTTACATTTTATTATATTCTTCCTTTTTTCTTTTTTTTTAGGCCTTACTACCTGGACACCCTTCTCATCTCTAGCTCAGCCCGTCTTGCATGCTTAAATCGTTGATACCAATACTAGCAGGTCTCCAACCCTTTACTGGCGAACCCAGCTGAATCTCCTTCCGCCTCGCTTGATCTTTATATAAACTTTCGCAGAACACAAATAGCATGTACGTAGCAACATGATATCTCTTTCTTGCCAGCAGCCAGTAGACAGTCATCAGATTCAGGACCTTAAGCCTTTCATGCGCTGACTTTATATGACTTCGATGCACCGTGTATGTTTTCACCCATCTTGCTGTAACAAAATCAGTGATCTGACATCTTTTGAGCTGATTCGGAAAACCCTCAGCTGGCTTGTCATAGCTCGCACTTTAGCCCGATCTTGACTTCATGCTCGCAGTTGTTGCGTGATCTAACTGTTAATTCCACCTATGAAAGACTTTTGGCTTTGCCATATTGTCCGAAGTGTTTGCTCACGCTCGTGCAACGCGTGCTGATCGATCATCGATCGACTGATCTGGCTGACGGCAGTGATCCGCTCTCTAGCATGTGCGCATCGCTTGCGCGTGCATAATCGATATGGGAAACTTTTTGATCGCCCAAATGATTAAATTTGTACCTGGCAGCTCGCGAACCAGATATCTTCTCTGAAAGCCCTTATCGCATAGCTGGCACCAGCTCGTCGTTTAAAGCTCGTCATCACTTGCTTGTTGAACGATCATCACTGGCAGCACCACGCCTCGTCTCGGCTCTTTTCTGCTAATCCTGGTATCATCGCTCCCGGCAGTACCCAACACTGCATCATAGCATAACCATATCCTCATGACCGTCTGGATGTTTCTTCTTCATCGCCGGCATACATGCCTGTTCCGCGTGGAACGTTCGCTGTCGTCGACGTTGCTCCGTACGCGCTGGGTGGCTTCCGTGGGCGGTGCAGTTATTCTTGTGCGCTATTTCGAACTCATGCTGTAAACTCTGGTGCGATCTCGTCGGTTTGCTCTGTTGACAACGATGGTGTAGTCGGAGGCCACCTTGAAGTGATACCTTCAAATGATGATTGCTGATGGTTGGCCATGCCGGGCGTCTCTGTTTCCACAATTGATCGCTATCATGGCAAACTATGATGGACGACAATGGTGATCGCTGGCCTCTGACACGAACTTCTTCGATCGATCGCGTGCTGACTGGGATGTGTTTGTCTGAATGCTCTTTGGCTCGGCGATGTGCTGACAGGTACATGATGGCGATGATCATACCAAAAGCGACACTGACTCCTCGCCGATTGGCTTGATGATCGATAGCCGTCCTGTCACCTCGATCTCCCCACGAAGCCTCAGCCTGCCCAGCTAAAAAAACTGCAGCTTTTCCTTCAACCTTTAAATAGCTTGTTTTAAATAAAAACACCACCTCAGATTCATTCATACTCTCTTCGTTCATGAGTGATAATGATATCATCTTTTTATGCAAAAAGAGTCACTGATTCCACTCTCTAGCTTTCATCAGAGACTCACCTTCAATCCAAACTGCTGATGAACCACTCTCTCTCAGGCTGATCTGAGATGTAGTCAATCCACACCTCTCCTGATGAGCTTTACTAGCCAGAAGAGTCACCTGACTGATCCGCTCTACATAAATGGGGAACACACTCCAACTTTGACTGTTCGATACACCCCTTTTTCCCACACTCTCTTTCAGTTGATCTCCAGGTGTTCTTAGGGTGGTATGAGCCTGCAATCTCGTGGCGTCACGCCACATCCCTATATAAGATGCTGGCGAACTTCTTCGAATGGGCCTTCCTCTGCGCTGTTCACAGCCCCGCAGCTTCCATGGATCCCCGGCTCAGACTCCTCATCCGCCATTCCTCTCAGACTCCTCATCGGCCTCCACTCTGCCACGACAGCCTTTCTCCACCGCCCTTTCGCGGCTACTCGCCCCGGCCAGGGTCGCGACCTATGCCCCGCGCCAGCGCCTGTGCTCCGACTGCGGCAAACTGCCAGCCTGGTGCCAGCGCATCGATGACCGCGCAGCGGCAAAACGCAGTTGAGGGCGTGCTGCGAACTTTTTTGAAAAAAAAGAGAGAGAAAGGAGAAGGAAAAAAAAGGGAAAAGAAAAAAAAAAAAAAAAAAAAGGAAAAAAAAAAAAAAAAAACGCCACCAAAATCGCCACCGCCGAACGCACCGACACAACAGTCGTCGTCACGACAGGAGGAGGCACCGAAGGAGCCGCCACAGAAGAAGAGGCCCAGCGGCCCCAGTGGGGTGGTCCGGAGACCGCGGTGTGCGGGCCATTTGTGTCACAAAACGTGCACACGGCGGTAAGGAATGGCATGATATGGCACCACCAAGTTATCCACATAACGTGGGCGTCGGGACCCGCACCATCGGAAGCGCAGGAAGAACGGAAAGAATGGGAGGAGGAACCGGCCCCGCGAAGCAACGCGCGTGATCCACGACAGCACCGGAGGCAGGCCGAGGCCATGAGGGCAGAGGAGACGGCGTCGGAGGAGCGGGAGCCAGCGGCAGCGAAGGCACCGGCTGCGACGGCGACAGAGGCACCGACAGCGGCAGCAACGGAGGGGGCGGCAGCGACGGAAGAGGCGGCAGCGCCAGCGACGGCGACGGCAACGGAAATACCGACGGCGGCGATGGAGGTACCGGCAGCGACGGTGACGGAGGTACCGACGGCGACGGTGACGGAGGTACCGGCAGCGAACACGGAAAGCGAGAGGTGGGAGCGCGGTCCGTGGGTGTGGCCCTCACCTGCGAAAGACAAGCCTAGGCCTGTCCTAGTGCGGCAATCGTCGTGCCCGGATCCCAGGGCTGAGGTCGCCCGGCCGCAGCTGCAGAGACAGCAGTCGGTGGAGGAGCCGACGGGGAAGAACGTCCGCTGGCGACATGTGGATGTTGAAGAATGGCCGGAGGCAGTGGCTCGGGCGGTGGAAGGCACACGCCGGATCGGTCGACGCGTGAAGCGTCTCGTGAGGGTGCGCGGGGTGCGGTACCGGGTATCAGCATCGGCAAACCAGGTCGAGGTGTCCGTCGAGGCATGAAAGGGGGGAGAATTTGTGAATTTGTGAATGAGATTAAAATGAATAAAAAAATGAAGTACAACTTACCCCGGGGCATGGCAGCTTGATGGCGGGATAGGCGGGGGTTTAACACGCGAGGTATACAGAGCCCACGAGGGCAGCAACATAAAACTTACGCGAAAACGCGGCCGGCCAGCGTATACAATAGTTACCGCAAGCGGAAGCAACACGTGAAAAGGGGAGCAGTCCGGCAGCACGTGAAGAGGGTCTGGCAGCACGATCAGAGGCGCACATATCGTGCACCTATCGTGCACGCAAAGCGCGCACCTATCGTGCACGCGAAGCGCGCACCTACCGGGAGAATCATGCACGGGGCTGGTTCCGGAACTGCATCGGCAGACCCGATCCGATAGATGGCGAACCGATCGGGCAGTGGAGGAACCAGTCCGGAACCAGCGTGAGTGCGCGCCCGCGCGCACGCTTGAATTCAAATAGGAAGGTGGTCGAGAGGAAAACGAAGGGAGTTTTCCTCTGGTAAAGAAAGGGGGAAGTGTGAGGAATGGAGTTTCCTCACAAGGGAACCAAGTAAGGGTTAAGGCGAGAATTCACGGCGAATTCACAAGAGAGTGAGAGCCGGGGTCCGTTAGAGTGGCAGGGCTCCAGTGCATGACCAGATATGGGCATGAGAGTATGCCTCCGGTACGAGCCCGTGGAGGGAGTCGGGAATGGAGGAGCCCGCAAGGAGCGGCGCTCACGTCAGGCTAGGAACGGCGGGAGCGGGCCGGCAGCGGTCAGCGCATGTCCATGTATGGACATGAGATCGCGCCACCAGCCCGGTCCCGTTAAGAACGTGAGGGAATCAGGCGAAGAGGCCGATGGCAGCGGTCCAGCGCATGTCCATGTATGGACATGAGATCACGCCACCAGCCCGGTCCCGTTAAGAACGTGAGGGAATCAAGCGAAGAGGCCGATGGAAAATTACCAGCGGCGCACGGATTTACCGCTGTTGCTAGGCAGAGGCGCGGACGCTAGCGTCGAAGCGAGGGTATAAGAGGAGCCCGGCAACAGTGAAGGAGGACAGTCAGTGGAGTGCGAGCAACGAGGAAAAAGCGTGAACACAAGCGAGTGAGTGAGGACAACTGACAAGGAAAGTCGACGTGAGAGGCAAAGGAAGAACCAAAGTGACCCATCCAAGAGGCAGCAGTACGACCCGGCAAAGGGAACAAGGTCTGCGAGGTGCCAGAGGAAGGACGACAGGTACCGCTTCCGCAAAGGCGATCAAAAGCGACTCAGTGGGTGCGGAGTTGTGTGTGTAGATCAGGCGTGAGCCAGGTCGGACGCATAGCCACAGCACCAGCGAGGAGCCTGAGACGAGAGCGAGAGAGCGTGTAAAACTGAAGAACGATCCATTTGTTGTATAGAACGTAAGATCCCATAAGTATAAGATACCAATAAAACATCCAAAACCAGTAATTAAACCCACCCGTGCATTCTTTCGTGTCTGTGAGGCAACATAAAAATTTGTTGCAACGAACCGTCGGCCGCTGAGCCAGCCTCGCTGTGTTAGACGGACAGAAACAGTTCGTTACAATGTCCAAAGTTTTTACACAGCAAACACACAAGGTGTTCTGCTAGGCACGGCTATAATAAACGTGTGCCACTTGGGCACTAATTATAAAGCTCGTGCGTTGATCGATTCTGGGTCAGAGGCGACGTTCATCTCAGAGCGCCTCTTCAGAATCATCAAGCTTCCGTTTCAACCAGTTCAAGTTCTGTTGGGGCTTGAACAACAAACCCCCGCCAGCCTCAAAAGAGATGCCACTTCCAAATCGGCTCCCCATCCAAACCGAGGGTTCATGTAGAAACCTCGGCATTCGTACTTCCAAATGTGGCAGGCGCCGTACCCTCGTATCTAATTCCGCAAGGTTTCATAAAGGACCTGCCAAATATTCCATTGGCTGATCCTTCTTTCCACAAAAGCTCGCAGATAGATGTGCTCCTAGGTGCAGATATCCTTCCATCCATTTTGCTTGGCGGCTCTCAACACAACATTTGCGGATCACTACTCGGCCAAGAGACCATTATTGGATGGATCCTTACCGGACCACTAGCTGAGTCAACTCGCACCTCAATTTCCTCATTTGCTCATTTGCAGAACAGCGTTTAGAAAACCTTCTAACGAAGTTTTGGGAGATGGAGGATCTTCCAGCCAGTCGGGTTGAAGATTCTTCAGAGTCTTTCTGCGAGGACAATTTTGATCGAACCACCCGTAGAGATGCAAGTGGCAGATATACGGTGTCGTTGCCCTTTCGGAATCCCGAATTCATAAACTTAGAGCATTCAAGATCAATTGCGCTAGCTCAGTTCCTAAAAAACGAAAGTCGGTTGAAACGAAACGTTCCGTTGAAAGAGCAGTACGATCGAGTCCTCCAGGAGTACCTAGACTTAGGTCATATGCGCCAAGTGCCACCAAGCAACGATTCCGATAACTTCTATCTGCCCCATCACGCTGTCCAAAAGCCGGACAGCACCACTACAAAATTGCGGGTAGTCTTTAACGCCTCCAGTTAGTCCTCGAACGGCAACAGCTTAAGCGATATGCTTCATCCAGGACCTGTTCTCCAATCCGATCTCACCATTCAGATACAGAAATGGCGATTCTTCCGATATGCCTTTGGTGCTGACATCACAAAAATGTATCGGCAAATTACCCTCGACCCTTCGCATACAAGATTCCAACGAATTCTGTCTTGGAATAAAAATGGCGAGCTCTGTGATTATGAGCTCACCACTGTTACTTTCGGGGTAAACTGCGCTCCATTCTTGGCCATTCGAGTGCTGAAGGACCTTGCGCAAGGTCCTCCTGTGATTCCCACTGGCAAGCGACATCATATCCAATTCGATGTATGTCGACGATGTGCTTGCGGGTGCCCACACAATACAAGGTGCAATAGCATCTATAAAAGATCTTCGCGCTGCACTTGACGGTGCGGGTTTTCCGCTGAGGAAGTGGACTTCGAATGCAAAGCCGGTCCTCCAAGACATTCCTACGGACCATTTACTGTGTGCCCATTTCCTTGAGATGGAGGACTCTAGTTCTGCGAAGACCTTAGGTATACGGTGGCAGGTGGATTGTGATGAATTATTTTTTCGGCCATCCGGGGTAGCCATAAGCTCCTCTTACACAAAAAGAGAAGTTCTATCCCAAATATCCAAATTATTCGATCCAGCAGGATGGCTGGCTCCCTTCATAGTCCGAGCAAAGATCTTTATGCAGGAAATCTGGCTTAAAGAGCTCGGGTGGGATGACTCTCTGCCAAAAGACCTCCTCACAAGATGGCAGGACTTCGTCCTTAGCTATCCTGCTCTTCAACAAATTCGCATTCCGAGATGGGTGCAGTATCACCCTCGCACGAAACTACAATTTCATGGGTTTTGTGACGCATCCCAGCGCGCTTTCGGTGCTGCCATCTATGTTCGTGTAGAAAGGGACAACCAGATCTCCGTCCATCTACTAACAGCAAAGACGAGAGTTGATCCTGTGAAGACCGTGTCTTTACCACGCTTGGAATTGTGTGGGGCCGTTCTTCTCGCTGAGCTGTCCTCGTCTCTTCTTCCTCAACTGTCCCTTGATAGCTACGAATGCTTTTATTGGACAGACTCCACAATTGTGCTAGCCTGGCTAAACAAAGGTCCATGTAGATGGACAACCTTTGTGGCCAACAGGGTGACTAGAATCACACAGTCCGTCATCCAGGGAACATGGTCTCACGTAAGATCGGAGCACAACCCAGCGGATCTAGCTAGCAGAGGGGTTTCATCCCAAGATCTGGCGAGCAGCAATCTATGGTGGCACGGGCCAGAATGGTTGCAACTCAAGCAAGACCAATGGCCCATCCCAGCTGAACCTCCGCACGAGACGGAACTGGAGCAACGCACGGTGAAGTGCAACTTGTCCAAGTCGTCACCGGAACCCAATGTCATCGACCGCTTCTCAGAATTCGGAAAGGCCATGAGGGTCCTATCCTTTGTCTTCAGTTTTATAAAGCTGTATCAGAAGCCCGATACTATAGTTCCAGTCCAGCTCGGTAGCAGCGAGCTTTCCGAGACTCAAGAGCGTATGGTCATCTGTGCTCAACGTGCCGAGTATGCAAAAGAATTCCAGCGCTTGCTAGACAAGCAGTCACTTCCAGCGTCCAGCACCATCAGTAACCTCAACCCCTTTATAGACCAAAAAGGTGTCCTCAGGGCATGCGGTCGGGTGCGAACCTCCGAGTCATTGAGTTATGATGAGAAACACCCGATCATTCTTCGTTATTCCTGCGTACTCACGCGTCTCCTCGTTCGGTTTACTCATCGCATCTCCTTGCACGGTGGAAACCAACTTGTGATGCGGCTTGTCCGATCCAAATACTGGGTCCCGAAACTGCGGACCTTAGTGAAGACGACTATTAATTCCTGCCGAGTTTGCACGATTTATCGCCAAAAATTGCAAACCCAGCTTATGGGGGACTTGCCCAAGGAGAGGACATCCTTCTCTCGCCCATTTATTCGAACGGGTGTCGATTTTGCGGGACCGTTCGATGTCAAGACATACACTGGTCGAGCGTGCCGTATAACCAAGGGATATGTTTGTGTCTTTGTGTGCTTCAGCACGAAGGCGATCCATTTAGAAGCAACCCCAGATCTCACAACCGAAAGGTTCCTCGCCGCCTTTCACCGGTTTGTGGCAAGACGTGGTTGCCCTCAGCAAATATACTCCGACAATGGAAAAACGTTCGTAGGAGCCTCAAAGGCCCTGTCCCATGACTTCCTAGTAGCCACAAGAGAGTGTTTTATTTCCGCCTATCCTCAACAGAACCTCACGTGGCGTTTCAATCCACCAAGCGCACCTCACATGGGTGGCTTGTGGGAAGCGGGAGTGAAAAGTTTCAAGACGCTTTTCTACAAGTCCACGTCGACATCAAAGTACACTTTTGAAGAGTTGTCGACCCTCCTCTCCAAGATTGAAGCGTGCTTGAATTCGCGTTCCGATTTCTCCCATGTCAGAAGATCCGACTGACCTCCTAGCCCTTAGTCCAGGCCACTTTCTGGTTGGCGGTCCGCTGATCTCCATTGCAAAGCCAGAAATAAAAGATGAAGCAGGGTCAATAATCAATAGATGGCAGCGTCTGAAGGCTCAAAACCAGCAGTTTTGTCTCCGTTGGAATACCTAAAAGAGTTACACAAAAGGAATAAGTGGCAACTCCCAACAAGAAATCTTCAGGCAGGCGACATGGTTGTCATCAAGGAAGACAACCTGCCCCTCAATGAATGGCGCCTAGGAAGAATTGAGCGAACGTATCCAGGGGTCGATGGCATGGTCCGCGTGGTCGACGTTTTAACTGTCCGCGGCACCATTAAGCGGCCAGTAGCAAAACTCATTCTTCTTCCGGTAGACACTGCCGTCCACGTACCAGTATCCAACTAACCAATATGTTTGATGTTGTTTGTTGAAAATGATCCATTCGCTAATATTCCACGATCTCTCTTTTTCAAGCATGACACCTCGCCAACGTCCAGTACAGCGCAACCAGCCGAGGGGATCCAACAGCTTCCGCTGTCGGGTCTGCCGAGGAGTCCACGCGCTAAGGAAGTGCCAACGGTTCCTGAAGCTGACCGCGGAGAAACGACTACGGGCAGTGCTGATCAACAAGTACTGCCACAATTGCCTGGCTCACCAGCACTCCGGTCGCTCATGCCGAAGCGGCGACAGATGCCAGGTGTGCGGAAAGGCCTACCACACAGTCCTCCACCTGGGCGGAACGCCCCAGACTTCACGTCCGAAGTCACGCTCTCTTCCATCAAGGGAAAGCACTCCACCAGCTAGATCGACCTCCAGATCCACTGCTCCTCCGACGACACTAGCATCGCTCCTGCAATCCAATCACCAGCATCCTCCCGACGGCATGGGTCGTCGTCGATGCGGAGCACAAGACCTTCGAGGCGCACTTATTGATCCGTGCAGCCCAACCAGCTGCATCAACGCATCATTGGCAACGGCCTTTGGGCTTTCCGTCACTCGCGTTGGTGCCGAAGGTGCTTGCACCGCCTTCATCCAATCAAGGACAAGGAGCGATGTCAGGCTGGAGGTCGTGCTGTCTGTGCGACCTCAACTCCAGATAAGGACTCCGGCGAGACCCTTGGACGATCACGTCAAGGACCACTTCGCTAACATGCACTTGGCGAATGAGAACTTTCATCGGCCGAGCACGGTGTCAGTGGTACTGGGGGCAGATGTCTACCCCAAGATTATTCTGCCGGGAGTGATCCCAAGCAGTGAAGGCTTCCCTGTGGCCCAGAACACGGTGTTCGGATGGACCCTCTGCGGAACATGCAGCACGGCATAACGGAGAGACGAATGTCCTCCCCCGTTCCTGTTGCGCCCCCTTCTTGTTGCAATTATATTGCAAGGGGGGGGAGGATGTTCATGCCGAAAAGCATGCACCATGCGCCCGATCATCTCTGCCAGCAAACTCAAACTCAAAAACTCAAACTCAAACGTACAACCCGAAAGATCTGAGCTGAGCAGCGGCCTGCGCGCCCGACTAGAGTAAGAACTTAGAGCTTAGAATAAAATCAGTGTCACGAATAAACGTAACAAAAGCAGACGCACGCGAACCTTTTTACTTTCGGCGATACAGCTATTTTTTTGTAACATTTCCCTTTCCAACTTACTGGCGAGCCTCCCCCCACGAACATGCCGCAAGCACGTGCAAAGAACAGTTTAGCATAACAAAAAATGTTAAACAAAATTGTTAATGGCTTCCGAAACAGTTAAAAATAATTTAGATATAAGAACGTTTTATGTCAAGATAAGAATTTATTTAAGAATTAAGAGCCTTAACAAAAGAATATCTATCCAAAAACAAAAACAACGTTTAATTTCCAATTTAAAATTATTAAATTTAAATTATAAAAAAACATCAACTCTTCGTATTATAACACGCAACTTTAAACCCCATGGACCATCAGAGGGTTAATCCACACGCTCTATTGTTGTTTCACTCACACTTACTGCGCTGAGCCCTTTCACTCGCACTTATTGTAAGTATTGTTAAGCACCTGCTGCTGCCGACGAGACTACCTTATATAATTGCATCATGGTCGTCCCTATGCAAGGAACGCACGCTTTATAGGTAGACACGTCATCTGTCGACGTCGACACAGAGCCGAAGGCGCATTGCCTGCGGCATTTTGCGTGCTGTCTTTCATGCTATCTCTTTCTTTTTAAAAATTACTGGGCTAACCAGTGCTGCCAAAATTTAAGTCAAAACAAGCTAGATTCAAAAAAAAAAGTTACAAAAATGGCTAAAACCAAAAATTAATAAGCTTAAAATTTAGACATAATACACCCAAAAAATATAACACTTTGTAGATTTAAAGATTGGATTATATGTACATACTATTGATAACTTAATATATTTATCCACTTTAACCTCTTCCTCTAGACAGTTTTATTTTTTCATTTTTGAAATTAAATTCAACTATTTAAATTGTAAGTTGAAGTTCTGGCAACTACCATCAACCATCCAAACATCACTAAAATATCCGAATAAATTAAACCATGTCTGTCTGTCCGTCCGTCTACATCTACGTCTGTAGCATCTACAATTTTTAAGATACAAAAAACGCAATATCTACCATATTCCGAATCTGGGTCAGATGGAATCATTATTCTAGCCAGAATTGATAAATTAATTTGCCATAGCTAACCTTCCACGCACGATACAGAGAAAGAAGAAAGCTAAATGCGCAGCACCGTTATGTTAGAAGAGCACAGCTATAGTGACGCGTGACGTAGATAATGTACGACCGAACACCTGGTTTCAACATCTGGCAGAATAAGAACCAAATGCCGGCCTGGTTTTTCTGTGTCGTGCCGTCCTGGCTTACTCATTCTCTCTCTTCTCACCCAAGTAATGTGAGCCCTCTATCGGCGGAGATGGAGCTGGAACGCCGTTAGTGCGAGAAAGGAGACAAAGAGGGCGCTTACGTAAAATTACCGGAATGACTCTGCAATATTTTCAACAGTCCGCACTTGTATTGTAAAACTCTCACATGAGAGCTCGTTAGGGAATGTTTTGCGATATGAAAATGTCTTACTCGTACACAAGCTCGCTTGCGACCTCGTTTGCGAGTGTTTTGCGATACTAAAAGGATAGCTCATTTTTGGCTCGCTTGCGAGCTCTTTTGCGAATGTTTTGCGATACAAAAATGGATTACTCGTACACAAGCTCGCATGCGAGCTCGTTTGCGAGCATTTTGCGGGACTCTCGCAAAAGGCATGTTCGTTGGTTTGCTGGGAGATGTAGAATATACATTGTAGATTTAGATAACAGATGTAGCAAAAATATGTAAATTCTAAAAATCTAAAAAATCATAAGCCCAAACATGCATAAACTTACTGAGTACGGGTATAAGTAGAGTCGCGTCCCCAGAAGCGACTCACACGTTCCTTCTCGTTTTAAACTAAAATAATAAGTAGAAATAGGGAGTTTCTGTAAATCGGTACTAGTAGTGCTAATCCTATATATAGAAATACATAATTCAGAGAAAACCTATTGTTAGTGTTCGTATTCACCTATCAAAGAGGCAGAGGGTTACTAATCCGGCTCAAATGACCGAATTCTATAATTTCCGTCAACCAAACCTTGCACCACGTATGCACAGGCTTTATGTTTATTTCTGGTCGTCGTTTGGTTATTTCTTATAAACCAGCAAGAATTTATAGTGCACCGACAACTTCTTTTTATTCAATTTTATTTTTTTTACAGCTTCGTCAATCTTTATACACCACAATTTTCATTCGACATCTAGATAATGACTGCCAACTCATCTTAAATCAAAAATATACATAATGTGTTGACTTCGGTCACACTTACAAAATATCCGATATTCGTTGTACGGTACAAGAAGGGTTAAATTAAAAATTATATATTTCTTTTCGCAACATTCTCCTCCCAAGTATTGCAGCAACTAATTATTCAATTATGAATAGCAGCAATACTTAACAATGTCGGGTTACACATTCGTCTTAACATCTAACTTGATTAACTTTACTATAGGTCGTTTATAAATTTTATCTTTTATCTTAACATCTACAATACGAACGCATCCATCCGTTGCTTGATATGTCTTTACAATAATGCCCTTAGGCCAAATATTTCTAGGTAAATCAGAATCTGTTATCAAAACAACGTCACCTTCTTTTAACATACTTTGTTCTTTTGTCCATTTACGACTGTATAAAAGATATTGTCTATATTCTTTTCTCCATTTTAACCAAAACATATCGGCCAGTCTTTGAGACGCCTTCCACATATTTAACACCTTCAAATCTCCATCAGTGGCTGTTGAATAAAATGAATCCCTAAAATCGGGTCCAATTAAAATGTCATTTGGAGTCAATGGTACCGAGTCCATGGAGTCGGATGGTACATACAACAGTGGTCGGCTATTAATCATATGCTCAATTTCACAAAACAATGTTTTCAATGTGTATTCTTTAGGAAATCTTTCTTTCAGTAGAAAGCATAAATACGTTTTTACAGATTGTATAAGTCTTTCCCAGGCTCCTCCCATATGCGGACTCAAGGGTGGATTAAAAAACCATGAACAATTTTTGGTGGTCAGAAACTGCAACAATTCATCTTTGGGCCAGTCAGTTATAACTTCTTGAATTTCTTTGCTTGCTCTTTTAAAATTTGTTCCATTATCCGAATACATTTCAATTGGAAAACCACGTCGACAACCAAACTGACGAAATAAATGCATAAATGCGTTGCATGAAAGGTCTTCGGCTACCTCAAGATGTACTGCGCGAGAGGCCATACATGTAAATATTACACCATATCGCTTGACATGACTCCTGTTTACTGTTATTTCTATCGGACCAAAATAATCTACGCCCACTTTTAAAAATGCTCTCTCCGTTGGTTCTATCCTACATTTTGGAAGTTGCCCTATTATAGCTTTGTGTGGCTGTCCTCTTTTGTTTTTAAAATACTGGCAATTACGTATAATTTTTTTTAGTGTATTTCGACACTTTGTGATCCAAAATTTATGTCTAAGATTTGATAGGACTGTCTCTACCCCAATATGACAATTTTTTTGATGATAATGGTATACTAAAAGATTTGTGATCGGGTGATCTTTGCTTAGAACAATGGGATTTTTCGAGTTGAAGTCATAGTCGCTGTCATTAAGATTGTCCAGTCTACCTTTGAGTCTAATTAAGCCGTCATCTGACATTTTTAAGAGTAGTGATTTTAAACTACTTGAATTATCAACAGATTCACCTTTGGTCAATTTTTCAACTTCACGTTGATAACTATCAAGTTGCATTTTTTTAAATATTAAAATTTCTGCCCTATCTATTTCCTTGGCTGTCAGTTCCTTACAATTTTGTCTCTTGAGCTTTAAATGGTCTACATAACGTAGTGTCCAAGCTGTGGTTCTTAAGAACCGCAACCAGTTCGAGAATCGAAGAACGTCTGGTAAGTCAATATCATTTCTCAGAAGCGAAGTGACATTAACATACTCTTTGTCAATTGGATCGATATCCTGTGACCCAACTGAAATCTTTCCTACTGGCCAGTGATCACTATTATTATGCAAAAACTGTGGACCTGTCAACCACAAATTGTTGTTTGTAAAATCTATTTTAGTGATTTTGGTTGCCTCATCGGCTGGGTTTAATTTCGATGGAACATACTTCCAATCTCCTACATTTGATATCTCCTGTATTTCTCTGTCCATAAATGCGTTCTGCCTATTTTTAAATTCAAAGTTTCTTTAATCATTTTATTCATTCTTGCTCCCAATAAAGCTCCTTGTAATTCCAACCGCGGAATTGACATTGGTTTGAGTGGTGCTACACGTGATTTTGCAGCTATTAAACTACATTCAATTTTGTCGTCAATTTGGAATCGTACGTATGCGCATGATGCATAAGCATATTTGGAAGCATCGCAAAATATATGCAATTGTACTTCACAGTCATTTATTGGAAGTTTTGTCATAAGTCTTGGTACACTGAAGTTACTAATTTTATCAAACGAATTACTTAGCTCTTTCCACAAATCAAAATGTTCATCTATGATAGGGTCGTCCCAGTTGATGCCACTATCCCAGATTGCCTGTAACAGTATTTTATTCGATATGAGCAAATTGGAAAGAAATCCGAGGGGATAAAAAATTGACATCGTAATCTTAAGTACTTCACGTTTCGTCGGTCGCCTTTCCAATTTCAAAATTTCACTAAGAGATTTTGTAAAGTTTAAGTTATAAGCAAGACTGTCTTTTTCATAATCCCACATCAGGCCTAAAACACGCTCTTCTGTTAAATTTTTAATCTTTTTGGGAGATATCGATTTTTTGTGGCATTTTGTCGGGCTTATATGGTCTAAAACCTCTGAAGAGTTTGAAATCCAGTTGCACATTTCAAACCCACCTTGCTGATGTACATATGTAACATCTTTAACCGCCGTAAGTTTCTATTATGTCTTGACAGGCTTTAGGGTATTCTTTCTTAAAGTCACTTGCATTACGATTCCTAACTTGTTGTGCAATACTTGGACTGCATTTAGCTCCAAAAAATAAAACTTGTATTTCATAGACGTCTGGTATACCTTGTCGCCTATTTTCACGCTACAAAATTCTCTGGGCTGGTCGATCTATCTGCTGAACTTTTATTTGTAGAAACATTTCTTTTATGTCACCTACAAAAACAATTTTGTGTTCACGGAAATTCATGAGAACAGATGACAATTGATTGTAAAGGTCAGGTCGTGATAGCAAAAAATCATTGAGGCAATACCCATGACTCCTAGATGCAGCGTCAAACACAATTCTCAACTTATCTGGCTTATTTACATTTTGTACGCCAAAATGGGGAAGATAATAAGTCACAGGTGACTGAACATCTAGTTCAGACAAGTCCAATTTTTTTATATATCCTTTTAAAATATGTGATTTAATTGTTTCTTCATATTTATTTCCATATATAGGGTTTTTGTCAATTTTCCTTTCACAGGCCATTAGTCTAGAATACGCATTGTTGTAACTCTCTGGAAGTCGTATATCTTCTTGTTTCCAAAACAAACCGCATTCGAATCCTTCTTCTACACGCTTTAGAGATTTGTCTACAATTTCTAAGCACCTTTTGTCGTCAAGTGACAAGGGATAGTAGTTCTGAACAGTTAATTCGCTCTCGATTGACCAGTAAGATTTGACGAGGTTATGTAAAACATCCAAATCATCACATTCCTGGTCTTTTAAAACTTGGTTGCTGATATGAAAAGAATAATTGGTTTCAATTCTCTGTCTGTCTGGTGCTACTACTCCATGAATAACCCAGCCCAGCAAGGTTTTGCTCGCGACTGGTCCATTAAATGCTTCGTAATGTAGTTTGCGTGAAACTATAAGCGACCAGTTGTCCTGTCCTATCAACATTTTTGGATGTGCCTTTTCGTATGAACAGTCAATGAAGTTTTTCAAAAATTTAAAATTGTCGGTCATGTCGTCTATTTTCAGAGTTTGTAAAGGTAAGTTTAGATTCGAGACTGTTTTAATTTTTCTCATAGTGAAAGTTTTAGCACCTTGACTTTTACCCTTGATCTGTACACTGACCATTTTTGAATCTTCCTGTTCGTAGACTTCACTATTGGTCCATTGCATCTTTAATGGTCTGATTGGGCCATCCAGTACTAAGTCATTGGCTACTTGTTCGTCTAACAAGGATATAGTCGATGCTTCGTCAAGAAGTGCATACGTGTCAATTGTCTTTTTGGGTCCGATCAAACAAATAGGTACTACTTTTAACAAAACTTTGGTCTGCCCTTCATAAATATTACAATTGCTTTCTATTTTTGAGTTCCACTGATCATTATAGTTTGGCTTATCTGGTTGATTTTCTTGACGGTTAGCTTTATCTTTGTGTAGCAAATTGTTATGATTATAACTGCAATTATTTATTTTGCATTGCTTTTTGCGTCTACAATCTTTCATCAAGTGGTTTTTACCCAGACAAGATATACACAAGCTATTTTGAGACACATGCTCCCATCGTTTGTCAATATGTAAGTCTTTAAATTTTCCACATGTCGTAACATAATGATCAGTAGACTTACAATAATTACAGAATCCTTTTCTATATTCTTTGGTTGCATTATTTGGATGATTTGTAACTGTTAAAGTACTATCTTTGGACTTATGCTGCCCCAGGCCTATCATGGTTGCAGCCCTAATGGTTTCACTTAGCCATGCTTGAAAAACTATTATTTTTGGCTCAGCTGATCTAGATTTTTGAAAGTGTTTCATAAATGCAATTCGCTGTGACATAGGTAATTTTTCCAATATTTCGTCAAGTAACAACGGGTTACGAATATGATCTAAATCTTCGATGGACAACAATGTATGAATTAGATTTGTAATTATATCATAAAATGAGATTAGTCGTTCATTCTAATGGATCCCCTGCAAATGTCGGTAGGTCTTGTTTTATTGTCTGCCTTGCCATGAATGTTTCCACATCCTTATTATTTCCTGACTTATTAAGACTTTCATTTTCAAATTTAAGCTTACGTGTTGTGCTAACCCACTCACTTGTACGGATCTCAGCGTATTTGCCATCATTGTCGTCGCCGTGGTCGATGTCATCTTCTTTTTCTTCTTCTTGTAGCTGCAACTCAAGCAGCTCTTGTTCCAGGTCCAGATGTTTTTGTTGAAGTGTCAGCTGTTGGCGCTGCTGCTCCTGTGTCGCAATTTGCTGGGCAAGCTGCTGCTGTTTTGTATTCAAATCCAGTTGTTTCATCAAATTTTGCACCTTAGACGATGTGCGTGAGTTTTGGCTACTTTTGGTTGTATGTGGTGATCGGCCTCCTTCGGACTGCTTGTCTGCGGCCTTTTTGATTACGTTGGATTCCATCGGTGTTGATGCCGCTACCTTTGACCTTGTCCTCGGCTTGATGGTAGCATCCATTTCCACTTGCGGTGTCTTGTCGGGATGAGGAGTGTGGTTTATCTTCTTTTTTTGTCCCATTATCGCTGTCTACGATCTTTTGTTCGTCGATTTGAACAGATTTGTCGATTTCAGTTGTCGTCACAATTTTTCTTTTTTCCGCCAGTTTTTTTCTGTACGTATTTCGGTGTTTGTTTTTATGTATGTATGTATTCCCATTTCTGTCTCCTGTCGGGAGCATCACCAAAAAAAACACGCAGTAGTTGTCTCTTTCTGTTGCACGTCTGTCTACATACGGTACACATACACTAGTCGTCGTCAAAGTGTATGTGCGGATGTGTATGTCTTGGATCAGGCTTGGAATACATACAGATCTATTTCACCATCTGATGAAATTGCGCCGCTGTTTTACGCAATCCATATGCCGTTCCGTGGGCTTCGAAGGACCATGTTAGTGTTCGTATTCACCTATCAAAGAGGCAGAGGGTTACTAATCCGGCTCAAATGACCATGTTAGTGCTCGTATTCACCTATCAAAGAGGCAGAGGGTTACTAATCCGGCTCAAATGACCGAATTCTATAATTTCCGTCAACCAAACCTTGCACCACGTATGCACAGGCTTTATGTTTATTTCTGGTCGTCGTTGGGTTATTTCTTATAAACCAACAAGAATTTATAGTGCACCGACAACTTCTTTTTATTCAATTTTATTTTTTTTACAGCTTCGTCAATCTTTATACACCACAATTTTCATTCGACATCTAGATAATGACTGCCAACTCATCTTAAATCAAAAATATACATAATGTGTTGACTTCGGTCACACTTACAAAATATCCGATATTCGTTGTACGGTACAAGAAGGGTTAAATTCAAAATTATATATTTCTTTTCGCAACACCTATACTGCGAATTAGCTAGATGGATATTTACCCCAGTGGGAATTTGCACCACGGTAATCAATGAAACTTTCGGAATTTCTTTGGATCTTCTTTCTCCAAGTGGGGCTACCAACGTAGGGAATGAGCGCACAGGTGCTGCCGTGGTCTTGGGGTTATGTTCACCCTCGAGCTACATCGATGAATTCGAAAAATGCACTTGCTTAGAAAACTGGGTATTGACCTTATTCCTGGATCATACTCATGGATATGGCCAGCTTATAAATGGTTGGAACAACTTATTTCTAACTGAAATATGCAACATGAGGAAAACGCACGACAAGCGATAAATGTTAAACCCCCCGCTGAAATCACACTTTGTGGTTCAACCAATCAAAGCGTGATCCACGCTTGAGGCGTATTGGATATGTCAGAAAATAGATTACAACAGCATAAGCTTAAGTCAACTACCCTCAGAGTGATTTAACTCAAAATTGTACCTGTTAATTGACTGTCTTGATTTTTCTCTCAAATTTCTTCAAAATTAAAATTGTATTGATTATTCATTTTTTCCTATCTGAATTAGTCAATTAAAGGAAAATAAATGGAATTTAAACAATCTTCGATATAAAATATTTTTTCCTGAAATTGGTTCTATATTATGCTGAGATATGTTTTTGTCGAAATTTTGTTCTGTTGATGAGAAAATTCCCAAAAAGGAAGAGTTTATGGAAAATGTAAAGTATGAGCCAAGGCCTACGGCCTACTACTAGTTGGCTATGTAAAATTTTATTTTTGATTTTAATTATCTTATATATTAAATATTTATGTTCATTCTTTATGAAATAAAAAGAGTTGCGATTTGTTTCATCGAAATACCAATAATTATAAGAAATTTTACCATTGGAGCCGTTGAAATTTCGAGTTTTTACCTTGGGTACTTTCAAAACACTGCGCTCTACTATTCGATTATAGAATTGCTCCAATGAGTAGTTCGAATGTTTCACCAATTTTTTTAGATGGCCTAGAAAGTTTTCGAATGGAAAGGAGCTTATGGTCTGTAAGGAACCATATTGAATTGTAACGAATTACGTTTAAACTACTAAATCCAGACGCGGTGTCGGGCATGGAAGAGGAGCGCACGCGGAATGTTCCGGCTCAGGCTCGTCGGCTAGGGGGGTGGTGGTCTTGCTTCCCCTCCCATGAAGTTCCATTTACATCACAATTCCTAAATAATTTGCGTGCTAGCGACAAGCTAATCCGGGATAGAGAATCCCACTTACTTCATCTCCCCAAAACAACAACAAACCCTAATAAGGGATTAACCAATCTGCTCCCGTTGGTTTTTTCTGCAACCTGACCTCAGGTATTTTTGCGGCCCGTTGTGCCCTTCCTACCATCGGCCACAAATCGTTCTTGACACTCTTCCACCAGCCTTAGCGCAGGCATCCTGACCGCTGGATGAACAATCGAAAATTCCAATCTGTACACTACAAGCGTTACAAAAGCCGCTCCCTCAAGATCTGGCTTGGGGTCTAACATCCCAAGACGTATCACAGGTAAGCTTGTTGCTATTGTTTAAAATCCTTGGAATGGAACCTACCCACTGATCGCCCTTGCAAATCTTCCAGCTCATATATGGAATTCCCCAATTTTCTACGAACTCTAGCCTAGAGATAAGCTGGTCCCAATTTTGCACTATATCCTGCAGGGAAATTGCTCTGCTTAAAATTTTTCCGGTAAACTTCTTGACCCTCTGTATACGATACCTCTCTCGACCTTAGGTTGTACTGGCGCTCGTTTTTGTCATACTGCGCTTTCATAACTTGACCAGCCTTTTGGCGCACCAAATCGAGGGAATCTTCGCGTGAAAAATTTGCTGACCTATCCTCCAACAGGCTTAAGACTCTTAAAAATTTATATTGTGAGCCAGAAGATATAAAATGCAGTCCAAACACCATATAAAACGGCGTGGTGCCAATTCCTGCATGTACCGAGAACCTTAGCGCACTGCATATACTGCTGAGATGTTTGTCCCAATCCTTTTGGTCTGCTCTCACATATGATCGAATAGCCGCAATAACCGACCGATTCACCCGTTCGGAGGCATTGGCCTGGGGCGAGTAGACGGCGGTGAGTGTGTGAGATATTTGATATTCTCTCAATAGCTTTTGGAAAGCTTCGGCTTTGAATTGCGATCCGTTGTCAGAAACGATCGTCTCCGGAACGCCGAAGGTGTGGAACAAATCCTGCTGAAAGTACTTGATGACCACATCAGCTGTCAATCTCTTCATCGCCTTCAAAAATACAAATTTCGAGTAATGGTCTAATACTATAAAGATCCCAACATGCCCACTAAGAGAACGAGGGTATGGGCCAAGAAAATCAACATAAAGTCTCTGGAAAACCTGTGAGATTCAGGTGAAACGCCAATCGGAGGCCGTTGCACGGTATTCGATGCTTTAGTCATTTTGCAGACCTCACAGCCACGAATGTACTCTTTGACATCGTTTACCAGCCTTGGCCAATAGTAGTACCTTCGTACCCTTTCCAGTGTCTTGTGCACACCTCCATGCGACGCTAGAGGATCGTCGTGAGTCTTCTTCTAAACTTCGCTAACCAGTCCCTTTGGAAGCCAAAGTTTCCATGCGAAGGTATCGTGAAGCTGATCACCAGTCGCGTGATCGGACCTTCGATACACCAAACCCTCCACAACTTTTAGATCAGGCAGCTTGTCGGTATTGGCCTCCATTCCCTTCATCATCTCAACGTATTCCTCGCCTTGAACCCTGGCGTCTGAGGATCCACCAGCATCCCTTGGTTGGCTTCTATCGCAGCCAGCTCTCCCTCATTCACCCTGGACAGGGCGTCAGGGACGACATTTAACCTGCCACTACGATGCTCAATCTTAAAGTTGAAACCCTGCAGTTTCAACGCCCAACGAGCCAGACGAGAATGCAGATCCGTCTGCGACATGAGCCACTTTAGGGACGCGTGGTCGGTTATGACCGTGAACTCATGTCCTTCGACATAGGCTCGGAAGCGCTTAGTGCAGACAATGGCTGCTAAGCATTCTTGCTCGGTAACTGAGTAGTTCCTCTGAGCTTAATTCAACTTTTTTGACACAAACGCAAGTGGATATTTATCGCTCTCTGGTGTCTTTTGAACTAGCACTCCTCCGACACCTGTTTTGCTGGCATCACACTGAATAAAGAACGGCTTATTGAAATCGGGACTTCGTAAGACTGGCGCAGAGCATAGCATATCCTTAAGCTTCTTGAATGCTGCCTGTCCTTCCGAAGTCATTGCAAATATCTGCCTAGGTTTTAATAAGTCGGTAAGTGGAGTAGCGACCGAAGCGAAGTTGTTGATAAATTTTCGGTACCATATTCAGGAAACTCCGAAGGGACTTCAGCGGCTTTGGCAACGGAAACTCTATCATTGCCGAAATTTTTTCCGGGTCAGTACGGATGACGCCATTTCCCACAATGTGGCCCAAGTATTTAACTGATCGACATTGAGCGTTAACCCAGCGGCTTTGACATGTCCTGCACTACACGTAACACCTTCATATGGGTCTCTAAACTATCTGATACCACCAACAAGTCGACAAGGTATACAAACCCTTCATTCCGCAGCTCCGGTGGAATAACTCGGTCCATAAGTCGAGTCATCGTCTGTGACGCATTTGTCAGGCCAAACGGCATTACCATGTATTGATATAAAGGCTTTCCCGGTATTGTGAACTCTGTTTTATCGCGCGAGCTGGGCTCTAAAGGGACCTGCCAATATGCATCTTTCAGGTCTAAGTTAGAAATATACATGGCTTTTGGAAGCCGGCCCATTATTCCATCAATTTGTGGTAAAGGATAAGCATCCTTTTTAGTCACCGCATTTACCTTTCTACTGTCTAGATAGAGTCGAATCTTACCCGGCTTCTGCACAAGAACAACGGGCGAAGACCAAGCGCTCTCCGACTCCTCAATAACCCCCATCTTGAGCATCCTATCGATATGAGCGTATAAAAGCTTTTCTACAGCTGGAGATACGGGAAAGTGCCGTTGTTTCACCGGCTTGGCATCTCCAACATCTATCGAGTGAGAGAGAAGACTCGTCTTCCCAAGCCCCGAAACAGCGAAAGAAGGAAATTGTACTATGACTTCCCTTAAACTATTCCTTTGTCTCTCCGTAAGCTCATGGGAATCCGCCGTCAATTCTGCGACTTGCATTTTGGGCGGAAGTAAATCAAAGGTTGACCAAAAATCAATTCCCAAGTATAGATCTTGGCTGAGTGATGGAATTATATGCAGCTCTAACTCTTTAGCCACATCCTTATATTTCACCGGAACTTTGAGACGTCCGAGGACATCCTGTTTGGTGCCATCTGTCGTACAAGCTGATGAGGCACTTCTTTTCAAAGGAATCCTACTTCGTATGACCTCTTCAGCCAACTTCAAACCTATTACGCTAATAGCTGCGCCTGTATCCATTAATCCAAAAATTACTCTATCTAATAATCTAACCTCGGCATAAGGCCGTCTGTCATTTTTCTTATGCCTGATCGCATTAATGGTCTTTAACGATCGCCAGTAGGCCCGCATTCTATTAGCATTTCTAGAGGTCGATTTTACCCTCGCTAACATTTGACTTGGTATAGGATTTCTATTCCAATCTATGAGTTAAGGCCAAACAGTCGGTTGATCCTCAACTGGACTGGGCACAACTCCCACATCAAATGCAGCATCAACCTCTAGGTGCTTGGTTCGTGGTTCGCTGGCTTCCTTCTCGGAACACACAACTGTGGGCGCAATTGTTTGTTCGCCTTTCCATTTTTTTGACACCTAACACAGGAAGGCTTATAGGTATTCGGTTTTCCGCACCCATTACAGAAAATTTTTCGCTTTGCCTCATAGTCATGGTATCGATGACCCTCCTGGCGGCATTTCCAACACACTAGTGCGATTGCACCAATCTCTTCCTCACCATCTAAATCCGAAAACTCCATCGCGTCATCTGACTGAGCCTCCTCGATGAGTTCAGATACCTGCTTG